CTAATAAATTGCAGAGTTAGTATCCTACCTGCCCCCCCCCCCCCAGTACTGGGGATTGAACTCAGGACCCTGCGCTTGCCAGGCAAGCACTTATTTTACTGAGCTATCTCCTCGGCCCCTAAGAGTTAGTATCTTGCAACAGATTCAAAAGCCAAAAGCCAGTTTACACCTGTAAGACAGCTCTGAAAAGTAGACAGCACCTAAGGATGCCACACACTAGAAATAAAACAATTGCCATGAGCAATTTGTAAGCATCAACACAAGAACTAAAGAAAATGAGAAGACACTTAAGCAAGATACAAACTGAAACTTCAAGCTCACCAATGGCAAAACCTGGGGGCAGTGAAGTGGAACAATTTGAAACCTACCCACCTGGACTCTCTGAAGTGGCAACAGCAGAAGTAACAAAGCAGATGAATGAAGCTCCAGAAATATAACAAGTCAGAAACAATTTCTCAGTTACAATGAAGACATGATTAGCGACTACTCCAGAGCAGACAGAGATTTAAAAAAACAAAAAACAAAAAACGGAAGATTAAGAAAATGAGGGAAACCATGAATGTCTAGCGTAAGAAAGGAATGGAATCCATGAAACAAATTCAAATAGATATACAGGAGATGAAAAGTTCCACTGAAACTGTACTGTTATGGTGTCCCCCAAAGCCTCATGCAGTCATAGGGCTGTCTCTAGTTTGTAATTAATTCATGATCCAATGCTGAGATTATGGGTGTTAGTGCTACACCCGCCCTGGGCAGATAGCCTGAATGCAATACAGGAAAGTAGGCTGCTGCTGCCATGCTCCAATGCTCCTCCCTTTTTCCTCTTACTGTTTTGCTGTTTTCTGCCGCCATGAACTACTGTCCTCTGCCATGTGCCACTCTGTCTTGGAGACAGCTGAGTATGGACTGAAACCTCCACAAACTATGAGCTAAATAAACCTTTCCTTCCTTAATTCTGGGTGTCAGGTATTTGGTCCCAGCAATAAGACAAAAGTAAGGGAGACATACACACAACAGAACGAGCCAGTGTGAGAACAGAATATCAGACCTAGAAGACCATACTGCAGTTAGTTATCCTGAAATGATTTCTTAAAAATACCAAGGGACCATGAGAAATCAACCCAGCAGCTGCTAGACAATGCAAGGAAGAATGGGCTAAGATTGATCAGAGTCAATAAAAAAGCAGGAGGTAACACAGACAACATTAAAGGAAAAAAAAAATTCTCAGAAGTAATGGCAGAAAATTTTCCAAGCAGGGAAAAAGAATCTGATATACAGTAAACTGAGGCACTATCTTATTTTTTTCTTTTTGCTGAAACTTCTGAACAAATGGACTTAATACATGTCTACAGTATTCGACCCCACAACGAAAGAATACACATTCTTCTCAGCTGCACATAGGGCATGCAAAATAGACCACATACTAGCTCACGGAACATGCTTCAGGAAATGTAACAGAAGGAAGAAATGATCCCATGCATATTATCAGACTATAGTGCAATAAATTTGGAAATCAATGGCAAAAGAAACCACAAGAACTTCATATACACACAGAAATTAAATAATACCACCTTGAACAACCAATGGGTCAAAAATGAAATCATAGTTTCTACAATTAAATGATAATACCAGTACAACATACCACAACTTACAGGAAGCAATGAAAGCAGTCCTAAGAAGGAAATTTATAACAGTGAATACCCACATCAGAACAGAACAAGCTCAAATCAACAACCTAATGTTGACCCTCAAGCTTCTATTAAAAAGAAGAGCAAGTCAAACCCAAAATTTACAAGAAGGAGAAAGTTATAAATACCAGCGCAGAAATTATGGCAACAGACACTAAGAAAAAATTCAACAAATCAATGAATCAGAGTTGATCCTTTGAAGGGGCTGGCCAGATAGCTCAGTGGACTAAAGCGCCTACTTAGGCAAAGCACAGCCACCTAGGTTCAATCCCCAGCCTGCCATGCCAGCCCCAGTCTTGGAGCACCAGCGATCGAGACTGGGTGTGCTGGTACATGCCTGTAATCCCAGCACTTGTGAGGCTGAAAACAGGAGAATCACTACTTAGTCTGATCTACATAGTGAGACCCTGTAATAAAATACAAAAAAATAAGTAAAATTTTAAAAAAAGAGTTGATCCTTAGAAAGAGTAAATAAAATTGACAAACACTTAGCCAACTTTATTTTAAAAAGATTCAGATCTATGCAATTAGAAACAAGAAAGGGTAAAATTAAAATAGATCCTGCAGAAATCCAAAAGATCAGTATCTTTGGGAAACTATCTTCTAGCAAGATGGAAAACAAAGAAGAAATGTAGATTCCTAGATACATCTAGGGGCCTGGGGGATGGCTCAGTAGAATAAGTACTTCCCTGGCAAGCGCAAGGGCCTGAGTTCTATCCCCAGTTCCTTTAAAAAAAAAAAAAAAA